CCTGCCCACAGGCATATCTCTTCCACTTTGCCCTAAGAGAAGGTCAGTCCCCTCCCCCCAGCACATACCAAAACAAAAGAGTTTAGGGAAAGGCCCCTGGGGATGTCTGGGGGAGAAGAGCTCACGGGACAGAGGTGAGCAGCCTGCTTTGGGTGGTACGGTGCACACCATGCCCATGACATGGGAAGGGGACAGGTGCCATCAGCAGCTCACCCAGGAGACCTGCAATCTCATAAGCCTTCTTCTGCTCAATGGTCTCATAGTTGAGGACTTCAAAGAAAATGTCCAGTACCAGGATGTTCTCCCTGCAAAGGGGTTGGGGGAGAAGATCTAGGTTCAAGTCACATCTCTGTCCCTTACTAGCTAGGTGACCTTAGTAAATTATCCTCTCTGGATCTCAGTCTCCATATCCATCAAATGAGATGCTGATGGGGATACCTGCCTTTTAGGGTTGTTGTGAGGATTAAATGTGATGGTGTATATGAAAAGATGCTCTGCACACTGGCAAACGTGCGGTGATCCCACTTAAGCAAGGAGGATGAAGATAGGGGATGAGGTGAGGAGGAAAGAGAGGCACTTCCCCTGCTTGCTCTGTCTTGATCTTTCTTCCACGCCCACCCCAGACTCAACTTCCTCCTGTTTCATGGCCTCCATCAAAGCCCACTCATATCCTTCTCAGTCCCAGCCCAAGGGACCCACCCTGCCCAGTCAGAGCCCTTACCCTATGTACTGCTCAGACTTGTTGAATTTCTTGGCCAGGTACTTGGCTGATGCTTTGCTGGGGATCTTCACCATGGACAGCTCCTTGCCATAGCGGGTCAGATTGCAGGGCATTTCACACACACAGTACTCCTGGTCTTTCTCCACCAGGAAGTCTGCGCCCAGCCAGGTGAGAGGCGCTAGTTGAGTGGTGCCCTTCTGCCAGGCCTTTCCCAACACACACATCCTGGCTTTGCCCAAAGGAAGCCTGGGTCCCCTTCCCTTTTTCTCACCAGTCCTTCACCTCAGTCCTGTGCCCACCCTACGCTGATCCTCATCCAGCCTCCCCATGGATATTTCCTAACCCTATATCTCATTCCCTCAGAGCCCTTGGGGGTCAACCAGCTGAGGTGCTGATGAGAGGAGGTAACCCCTCTCCATTTTTCACAGGGGCCTCTAGAAGTGCTATTCCCAGCCTTGCTAAAGTCAGACACAGGAAAGTTCAAGTGAAGCCTGATCCAGGACTTACTTGAAGCTTCTGGGAGCTTGGTCTGAAACCTCTATGCATGTGGCTGGCAGTCCCTCCTTCCCTCCCCCCAGAATGTCCCAAGACGGGGTGCTCACCCAGAGCAGGATCTGCACACTCCTTGTACTGCTCTGGAGTGCAGTATGGGGCATCTCCTACGAAGGAGAAAAGATAGTGATGCAGGATGGAGATTAAAGGGCTCTTGTGATGAGCTGGGAGAGAATAGGAGGGTAGGACTAGCCAGCCCCAGTCTGTCCTGGAGGCACAGTCCATTCCTCTTGGACCCTTCCCACCCATACCTATGGGTACAGGCAGGAATAGAGGTCAGAGACACAAGAGCTACATGGGTATGGAATGGGGCTAGAACTGGGGAAGCAAGAAGCCAGCTGGTCTTACTTCTATACTGGCAGGAGGTTGATAAGCATGGGGAGCTGATGAGAAGCAATGCAGGCTGAGCGGCCCCAGGACTGTGTTTTGGAGCTTTGGGGCCTCACCTGGCATGTGCACCATGCGGCAATTACAGTTTTCCACTAGGTAGCGGGTCTCACAGTCAATGCGGCAGGCAGTAATGCTGTAGGAGTCGAAGAAATCCGAGTCCATGGTAACAGCTTTGCAGGTGCCCCAGGGTGGAGGCAGGTAGATGAGCTGCTGGGAGAGCCAGGGAGCTGGGGGGTGTGGGGACTTCTCCCAGAGTCACCTTGATGGATTTCTCTGACAAGATGCAGAACTCAGGAGTCTTGCCCCTCCTCCCTCTGCAGCCTCTGAGGGTCTCCGAGTTTAGAGAGCATTCTCGTTCATTAGATCATTGATGCTTCTGACTAGTCAGATTGCTACCCAGGCCCTCACTCACCTGTCCCTCCCGTTAGTGATTGCCCACCGTTCCATCTTAACCCTTCAACACCCCACCCCGGGACCATCCTCCTGTGGCCCTCTCACCCGCTGCTCCTGGCAGGCCACAAAGGTCTGGAACCCTGGGGCCACACCAAAGCCCAGCTGGTCGATGAAGGGAGGTTCATCCTGACTGTGGATCTGCACTTTGATGCCTGCTTCGAAGGACGTCTCATCTATGGGAATGAGGGGGGTGTGTTGAGAGGACTCCCTAACCTCCAGAGCTGGGGACATCCTGCCTCTCCTGAGAATAAGCACAGCATACACTAGTACTGGGGGTGTGTAGCTTAGTCTCTGGGGCCCCAGCCCATTCCCAGCTTCCTTCTGAGTTCACCAGCCTCATGCTGCCCCAATGACTCCTGCATCCTACACACTTCTTTTCTTACGTGGCTTCAGCTATGCATCTTGATGTTTCAAATTCTTTCTCACTATCTCAGATACTCTCCATTCCTTCCCCCCTCCCTTCTTCTCCCTTCTTCCCCATCTCTCTCTGCCTCAAGGCCCTTGAGACCAGACAGACAGCAAGCAGCCCAAGAAGAGAGGGAGTTATTTATAGAGTGAGTGGCGGCCACTGACAGAAAGGGATGGCTGGTTACCTTGGAGAGTAACTGAGCCAAGAAGGGGGAGCCAGAGAAATGTGAGTGTGGCAGTCAGGTAGAGTGGGAGATGGAGATGGCAAAATGCTAGGAGGAAAGGAGGAGAGCCCAAGCCCTGCCTCAGGTCCTACAGTGGAACCCAGAAGTCTCCTGGCAGAGGTTGAAGCCCAGAGACATGGAGAGGGGGCTCTGAGAGAGGTGACATACCAGTCTCCCCCCATACGGGCAGGTACTCGTCCTGCTGGATGTCTAGCATGATCTCCAGCCCATTGCCCGTCCCACCCTTCATGGTCTTCAGCCGTGGACGCCCATCTCGGCCCGAGTTGAACGTGTAGCACTTTCCATACCGTGTAAAGACCTGGTAGGGGCAGAGTGAAGAGCCTGAGAGTCCTGCCAGCACCCCCTACACACCAAGGGCTGTCTCAAATCGCCCCCCAGTTACTGAAATTGTAACATCTTTCAGGATTGATTCCTCCTGTGCATCCCATTCTCCATTTGTCTTCCTTCCAAACCATTCTCTGCCCTTCTTTGCCTTGCTGTGTGTACTGGAAAGCTGATCCTTGCATTGCCTGTGCTCCTTGGCCACCTGGACAGACTTCTGGTTGGGTTTGGCCAATGAGAGGGATCAGTAAAGAATCAGAAGGCAAAAGGTGAGAGCGATTAGGGCACTTCTCCTTCCCCACCCTGTACACCTCTGAGAGTGTTCTGGCAGTGGCTTAGATCTTCTATGACTACAAATCCTGCCAGGAGGGCTCCTTGCATAGCCCTCCTTCTGCTCCTTCGGCTGTGTGTGACGATTTCCCACTACTGCTAGGTGCCTCAGGCTCCCTTATTGGTTTCCTGCACTCTGCCCACAGCTCTGTAAACTGTCTCTTTGTTAAATTCTTTTCAATTAAACTGAGTGGCAATCCTTTTCCTGCTGGGACCCTGACATCTACACCTCCATCACCAGGATCTCATCACTGCCATACTCCTGGATTTCACCCCAGGCATCTGAAATCCTGCTCTCCCCAAGATCCCCCTCCAAAGCAAGTTAAGCTTTTGCGTTTCCTCCAGCCATTACTCAGAGTGTCCATCATTGTCCCATTATCATCAGAACCTGAAAGGAGACTTAGCTGTCATGCCAAGGACCGTGCTCACTCAAGCACCAGCACTTCTTTTGTCAGCTCTTGGTACTAAGCACCCAGGGCATGGCATGTTCGGCAGTACTTGTGTAGGACTGTCGAGGCCTCAGAAGAGATCTCCACCCTGGGGTACTCTCCCCACTCCATGCCCCAGAGCAGCTCTCATTGCCACAGAGAGAAGAGTAAACCAGTTCTTTATGGCCCTTTCTCCACAGCTTCCCTGAATGCCTCCGGGTTCCCACAAATAGGGTATATTTTACTACTGCTGGATGGCAATAAAGTCCACAGAGCAAATCATAAGGTGAGTACAGACACAGCTGAGAGAGAGAGAGACAGAGTGTCAGACCAGCTGCAGCAGCAGGGGGATTGGAGATTATTAGGAAATAGAGTCTTTCCCCTCTTCTCCCCTCCTAGAACAGCCGTTTCCTCTCTACTCCAGAAAAGAAAACATGGTCTCCCCATTTTGTGGGCGAGGCCCAGAGAAGAGGTGAAGAGAAAACTCCAACGGCTCCTAATCTCGCAGCTCCACTACCAGGTTTTGTGGCATTCAGCCACAGGCTTCAGGCTGGACACACAGCCCTGCCTGCCCTCCATCTGGGGATGTGAGGGATTTTAGGTGTCTGGGGCACGCCAGGAGCTTCAGCCTTGCCCTGGCTTAGAGGACTGTGCTGCTGGCTAGTGGACTGCTGCTGCCACCTTGTGGTTCTGGATGAGAAGTATCTGCTTTACCATTAGATCCAGAAGAAGCCAGGTTGACCCCTTCCTTGTCTGGTGTTCCTATTATCTCCCAGCCTGTCTGAGGCCCAGTGGCCAAAACCGCCATGTCTTAAGTAGTCCGTGATGCACTGATATGATGCTATTTGCCTGCTCCTACACTAGGGAAGAGGTGGAGGACTGAGGGATAGGTGTGTGGGGAGGGAAGGCCTGGCATCTGGCTCCTGGAAGGGGCAGGAGAGGAGTCAGACCAGACAGAATTGGAAGCTGAACTGGGAAGAGGGTGGGGTGCCTCTTGGTCCCTCAGCAGAAAGGTCTTAAACTTCAGAGTGGGAAGGAGGTCACTATTTTAGTGAGGACTTCCCCTAGAAAGAGAGTCCTGGCCACTTAGGACTGGGGGTGGAGGAAGAGGAGGGATTTAGAGGACACCTGTTATTCTCCGTCATACAGACAGACAGACAGACAGACAGACACACACACACACACACACACACACACATATACACACACACACACACAGAGTAGGAGAAGCACAGGAAGATCACATGAGGATGCCATAAAGTCCCTGCGGTGGAAGCTGCTGACCAGGGGTGTGGTGGGGTGGAGATGGGGGGCTGACCCCACCCCTCCACCTCCCTTCCACCCTTCTCCTGCACCTCCAGAGACCAGGTGGCACCTGCCCCAGCTCCAGACCAGGGATGATAGTTGAAATTATTAAGGTCGGGTATTGGCACCCACCATCAGATCAGAGGTTGACCTCAGAAATGGAGTGAGGTCCAGGGCCCTACTGGATCACAGGGAGGTATGGACACACTGAAGGATATTCAGGGAGACACCAGGGGCACCTGAGCAGCAACTAATTACCAACTAGGCCAGGCGTATTTCGAGATTCTATCAGAAAAAGCCGTACTGGCTCAGACCTGGGAATAGCAGCCCAGCTCCAGACCCTGGGGCTCCCAGGTGAGCCCTGGCTTCTCTGAGGCATGTCACTGGGGGTGAGTTGGGGGAGAGGCAGGACCCACCAGCCCCAGCCCAGGAAGTGACGGTCAGGGTGAGCCATGGCAGACACTCTTGGGGTGCCGAGCCAGGCATGGGCCCCCACTCACCACTGAGAAGTTGTGAGGACCGCAGGGCCCCCCGCGGTAGGAACAGTAGAGCAGCATGTCCTCCAGCCGGTGGCAGGAGCGATTGTAGAAACGGTGCAGGTTAAAGGGCTCTCCAGAGAAGGCCTCAGGCCCAGGGGGGGCGAGGGGCACCCCTGGGTCATCACTTTCGTCCAGCCCGAGCATGGGGGCCAGGTAGAGCAAGTCGGGGTAGCTGAGCTGGGACAGCCGCACAGCATTGGTGTTGCAGAGGGTGACCGCTGGGAAGGCCAGCTCTGTGGTGGCCACCTCATCTAGCAGAGTCACATGTGGGTAGCTGAGGTAATAGGCAACGCGGTCTCCTACCTGGCACAGGAAGGCACCCAGTGCCAGGACAAAGGCCACTGCCCACAGGGCCTGCCTCAGCCCTGGACCCCCCTCCACGAAGACGTGGCTGGCGCCATGGAGAGTGCAGCTGTTGGCAAAGGCCACCAAGTCCATGGGCAAATCTCCCTCTCTGACCTCCTTCCTCGCTGCCTCCTTTTCCTTTTCTTCTTCCTCCTCTTCTGATTCTGAGTTGTCTCGCTGCTGCCGCTGATGGGGACCCCAAACATCTCCCAAGGGCCCGGGGGCCTCCTTTCCAGAGGAGAATGACACAGAACAGAAGATCTGGATGGGCATCTTCTTCAGGGGCTGCCTGATACCGGGGGATTGGCAGGAGAAGGGGAAGGAGATGTGATCTCAAGCAGGGTACGGCAGGGCTAGCCACCCAGCCCTTCTGCCAGGACTCCGCCACTGGGCTGGCCGTGTCCTTCCTCACAGGGCCTCTGTGGCAGTGTGGCCGAGGTAGGGCGGGGCGTGGAGAGGAGGACCAGCCTGCCCTGCTAGGGAGGGCGGGTGTCTGGGCTGATAAATAATTGATGGCAGTGAGAAAGAGAAGTTGATGGAGAGGAGGGGTGCCAGAGCCTCTTTCCTCTCACCAGCTCCAGCAGGACAGAGAGGGTTGAAGACAGAGTGGAAACTCTGGGAAAGCCTAGGGGCTTCTGGTATCCATCTCTCCAGATGAGATGGGACCTAGCAGAGTCCTTTGCTCCTCCTGCCAAGAGGACTTCACCCAGCAACAGTCCCTGCTCCTCCCCCACCACGCACGCACATTCAAGCTCCCTCTCATCCTCTAATCTGTTCCTCAGCATGTCCCTAAGTCTTCCCACCCAGATTCAGGGTCCTCTCTCCTATTCTCACCTGTTTCAGTCATTCCTCTGAGATATCTGAGCCCCCACACTCTCTTGGCACTCTCTCAGACCTCTAATTCCTCTCTAATTCCCTCTGGCTCATAATGCCCCCAATTATTTCATTGACCCCCCCAATTCTCCCAATATACCCTTAACTCCAGCTCCCCTCTATCCTTTGATTCTGTTTCCTTTCAATCTCCGTCCTGACCCCAATTTACTTTCAGTTACTCCCGGAACCCTTAATTTCCCCGCATTCACTCCCTTGACTTCCAATTTCCCTCCAGCCAGTTCTTGACCCCATTTTTCCTCCCCTCACTCCCCTGACCTGTCTCTACTTCAAGTCAGCACCCTCCCCATGCTGAGCAGCACTTAGGTCACTATCCCCTCCTCCACTCCCTTCTGTGGCTTGGGGGGCAGCCCAGGTTCCATTAGCACAGGTCTCTCACTGACCACAGACTCATTTATGGCCCGTTCCGGGCACCAGGGTAAAGGACCCCATCTCTTGCAGCTGAAAAGCTTCCCGGCAGATCACCACTCCCCCACCCAGCTTGCCACCCCCTCCCCACCATTGGTCCAGGAGAGGAATTCTAGGAATTCTCTTCTGGTAAGTAAAAGACACTGAGATCAGAGCAGAATCAGGATCCTGGGTCAAGCGGAGAGTATTGAGAATAAACCTGGATGCCCCCAAAACCGTCAGCCTCGCAGATGCCCCATCCCCTCAGACTCCGAGGCTCCCCTTTTCCTCAATTTATCATTCCCTGCCCCTAGGCCCCTAGCCCCTCTGTGGGTTCTGATTACTCAGGGCCACTGGTTGAGGAACTTGAGCCATCAGCCAAGTCTCCAGGGCCTGGAAGGTGACCTGAGGGGAGGAGAGGAAGGGAGGGAGGGAGGAAGGTGAAACACCTTAACCCTTCCTCTGCAGAGCCAGAGTAGAGGTGGCGGGGAGTCAGAAAGTCTACTTGGGCTTTTCCCATCCCATAGCCCCAGGCTTCATCCCGAACCCTCCTTCTCCCCCACTCCCTCTCTGCTCCCACACTTTTTTCCTTCTCCATTTGCATGCAGAGACCCTGGAGTTTGCTGGGGATGGAAGGCAGGTTCTAGTAGAATTGACTGATATGGGACCTTTGGCCTTAGCTATGCTGCCAGGGACACCAAGACCCCAGAGAAGAGCAGCCTTTGAAATCTGGCCCCTCTGCATCCTTAGGC